ATAGAACGTGGTGCTCCTAGACTTGTAATAAACTACAAACCTCTCAATTCTGCTCTTCAATGGATTCGTTTTCCGCTTCCTCAAAATAAAGATCTTTTGAATGGACTTTTCAAAGCTATTATCTTCTGTAAATCTGAGTTAAAATCTGACTTTTGGCAGATTCAAATTATATGTGTTTGCATGTGTGTGTAAATTCACACACATATAAAAAGCATTCAATTTTAGGAATTCAGTCATGATTGCATAACATATAAAAGTATCACTCGATCTTCTATAACACCCGTGTCATTTATTGCAAGAGATAGAATCATATATTACGTCTCGATTTCCATACTATCCATAAATCAATCAATTGGTGATTAAACAATTAACATATTAAACGCATAGTAAATAATTAAGACACAATCAAGTTGCATGAAATTTTTGGAATTAAATAAACATTAAACATAAGTTACATTATTCGTCCTAACAACCAATTATTTAGCCAGTTATAATTGAGAAAATAAATAATAAAAAGATGAAAATTATCACTGGCTCAATACAATGACTAAAGAAAATGATTCTAGCAATTGTTATTCCCGGCGCCCAATTCTCAACAATAGATCGCCAATCTCTTCTTCAAAGCTTGAATATTTTTTAGCTAATTGTGTTCTTCAACCTTCAAATTCCAAATTGAGATACCAATCTTGATGATTCGATGTATTTAGATGTGTGATTATGATTTTCAAATTGTATCTCTAGCCTTCCCTTAATTTTTGAATGAAACAACCTATATGTAGGCCTAAATTAGGTTTTAAATAGAGTTTCAAAAGGATTGAGAACCATAGATTTAAGTCCAAGTAGAATATTTCAAATTGCTGGAATATACTTCTCTAGTGTAATTTGGTCTCTGTTTCATCTTTTAATTCAGATTGAATCCTTAAATTTGCAATTGAGGTCCTTCAATTTTCAAACAAGACACATTAATCCCCAATTTTAAAAAAACTAGTCATGGCTAAACGTGCGCTGCACGTTATTTTGAAATGCTTTATAAACACTGTAAAAATGATATTTGAAAATCTGTTAATATAAAAAATAGTTAAAAAA